AGAATAAAAGCACGAAGCTTAGGTGCCATTCCGGGGTTAACGCTCCCAGGTGAAACAAGTACATGCGTGGAGTAGTAGCCCACGCAGGGTCCATATTGTGTGTCTGTCTGTGAACACCACTAGCGCCTGAACCATACGTAAGATTTATTGGAAGTTGAAGAAATGCTTATCCATCTGACTCGAGACGAAGCTTTCAAGAACATTCTTTACAAATTGAGGGGACTTTACATGAATCCCCGATTTTCAAATTTGTCTCAAAAATTTGTTCAATTGTTTTTAAATTTCTTCGCAAGAATGGAGTAAATTACTCTTATAAAAGTAGTATAGGTCTTATTTTCACAGTTAACTCTAATTTTTTGAAAATTTCGAAAGTAAGATGTTTTTTCTGTCTTCCCATAACTACAAAATTAAAGATAGAGATTTTTCCATTAAATAAATTGTGTTGCTCATAATTGTTTCTTTTATTAAGGTCATATAAATTTTGTTTTCGAAAGGTTTAGTAGTTTTCGCGCAATATTGCGTCCAATACTTGCAATTTTAAAAAAATAACAAAAACAAGATTTTCTGAAGAAACGGTTCCAAATATATTTTTCTTTAAACTTTGGTAGAGATAGCACTGAATGCACTCTGCCCTTCACGTCGTTAATATTCACATTAGCAACGATTTGTTCCCATGTTTGTTTTGAAATATGTGGTCTAGGTTTCTAAAATGGTGCTCAACGCGTAAAATGTGGACATTTGGAATAAAAATATTAAAAATATGAATAAATTGAAATATTTTAATATGATTTTAATAAAAAATGGAAACATTTTAAAATCTAAAACTTGTGGGTCTGAAAAATCTGTCCAGTACGCCCGTTTTGTATACAACTCACGTACAACCCGCTCAACTCACGGACCGCGCGCGATCACATCTTCCTCTTCCTTGTCCTATCCTTACCCCTTACATACACTAACACTCCCTACACTGCCCCGTATGCCGGAAGACCTGTCAGGAGCTGTGAACTTGTCCCGACTAGGTCGGTGCCCCGCTGGCGGGAGATACTTGGATGAGGAAAACCCCGCTAGCCGACGGAAGGTCGGCGTCGGATCTCGCCATACAGATCACCGCTACCTCCCATGCTTTACACTAACGGGACTAATGACCCTGGTAGTTGACATGCTCAGAATCATTAAACAATCACTCAATCAATCAAAATGGATACCATATTTCATTAAGATCAGTTGCAAATGATGAGACGAAAGTTTTTTTTGTTTTCTTTGTTGCATTTTCACAGATTTACCTGAACACTTTATCATCGCCACATTTTTAGCACTTGAGCTAAAAATTCCGCATACAATTTTTCACTAGAGATAAATGTAGCAGCTTGTACTAAAGGTCTAAGAATACATTTATGATATTCAAAGCACGAAATTCATTCTGTCACATCTCACCAAAGAACGGCACTGGAGCAGGAGGAAACACGTGGACCCATACGCACCTTACATTCAAGATTCAGTTTAAAAAAGAAAATACTCGTTATACTTGTCCAAACAATATAATATATTCACTAAAGAATAGACTTTTTAAACAAGGGCACATAGCACAGCACTTTCTAATTTGAATTATTTTTCGTGGCGCACTATAGGACGAGGAAATCGCAAAGGGAAGTGTCGAAGCGAGTCAACGGCTAATGAACGAATAAAGGAACATTTGCGCGCAAAGACAACCTTCGGTAATTTTGCCACTACTAGCTAGGCAATACCTGTTATAGCGGTCCCTTCTTATAAAAACAGCTCATTAGCAGGGGTTCCCATCAGGGTGAGTGGTTGATTGTTAGTGATGCTGGGCGCGACGACTGCTAAGGTCATACGTCCCGTCGTGTAGAGCGTGCTTTTTCTTCGGAATGCGGAGGTGATCTTCCTCAGCTGCCTGGCGGGATACGATGTCGACCTACTGTCCTCCGACACATCACAGCGTTTCTGCAGTGAATATCGCTCATCCAATGAGAGAGTGACGTAACTGAAGAAAAATGAACCTTACAGGAGAATAAAATTCTGAAATAAAATACTTTGAAACACAAAAATATTACGCACAGTAATAGCAATGGTCGTATGTTTCATTTTACTGAGTTCCTTTTGTTTGCACCACGTGACTTGGTGGCCAACATAAACTTCCGATTTACCCTAGTTAAACAGAATTTTTAATAGAATGCGTATGGTATGAAACTTTGATTTCACCCCACCCCTCGTTTTTCACAATTGTGACATTGTTCCCCTGAAATGAACCTTTTATCATAATTAACAGTTATGAGATAATTTTGATCAGTCAGTTCGGTAAAGTGTCACAAAGAACAAATAAACCGTAGTATTCGATTGAATATTTAATGAACATTTTAATTGTGCATTTACGGCGTTATTCTGCTGTAAATTGCCTGCTCTTTGTTTGACAGAATACCATAGAAGACACTTGTCACAATGTTCTATTGAAAACGAACGAGTTTCGTGTACGAACATCGCACAATCAACTAATGCGTTTTTGTTCTTCTCAAATCACTTCACATCTTAGCGACGTAAGTTCCCACATTGGGGCTAAGACAAAATTATAATTCAATCGATATTTCTGCAGCTTTATTAAGATTCTAAAATTGTTTCGACCCATTCACCTACTTTCGCATAATTTTGCAGTTACGCCATGTGTTTCATTGAATGAACGATATATCGGTGCACTGCAGAGTACTTGAACATTGCGTTCGCAAGTACCAAAGAAATTGAGTTTTCTCGATAACGAAACTTTTCTTCGGGAGATTGGTTGCACCAAACTTTCTTAATAGCGATAAAAGTGTGCATTATTGATTTCTAGATGCAATTACGGGACGTTCTGGGAAGTAATTATTTCTTAAAGAACTAGTAAATGTTGTTAGTACTCCTGCCTCTTCCTAGCAACAATTTTGGCTCAATTGTTAATACGCGCGTCATACAAGCCGCGAAGGGCAAGGTGTCCATCAAACAGCAAGTTTATCACAAATATAGTCGCGGAGCCTTCCTTCGTGCAACGAAGCATCCCTCCTGAATTTCATTCCTATGTTAAACGTGAGTTACCCGCACCTGTTAATGCATCTATAACAGTTTTTTAACGTAAGCAAAGAAAATGATAACATTTACATTCAGGACTTGAAAAACATATACAAAGATAGATACTGTCCAGTTCACAGTTCCGAAAAGAAAATACACGAAAACAAATAAAATGAAAATACTAGTTTGATAGTATAAAATACATTCTGTGTAACATTCATCGTTTTGTATATATTTCACGTAGTCAAAGTGATTAGTTCTCAATTTACAAAAGTAAAAAGAAGATTGCTCTACTTATTCACTTTTCCGGAATCGCTGCACAAACAGCAACCTCTCCCGGCCCCGAAGGCGAGACGCATCCATGTAGAGGCGGCTACCGCTTATTTTTGTTGGCCAAGACACCAACACTGCTGCTCCGCTTCGCCTCCCGTACCTCCCCTGGCTAACACGTGGCAGTTTTTTAAGCGTGGACTTCGGGTGTGCCGCCCCGAGTCCAGATGACCGACTCGTTACGTGTGGTTGTTTCGTAGATGATCTCTGGTGACTTCCTTCATCACTGTCATCGATGATATCCATTGTGGACGATTCACGAGGCGTCATGAGGATCTTTCTCCCTGGTTCATGCACATTTTCACGAATTTCGGTAATGAAACTTGCGGTGTGTTTTCCCGAACTCGGCAATGAGGAACTGGTTAGGCTCCGTGGACGCAATATCAACTAGAAGCGAAAACAGCAGGTTCCGGTGGGGGTGATTAGCAGGTTCAGGCAAACAAACCAAGAAATGAAGAGGTATCACCAGAAACCGAACGCCTTATTCCAGCGCCCGGCTGATCTGATCAGTAGTTTTCCGTGTTTCTTCCTCTATGCACTAAGCAAATGCCGGAGCAGTACCCTAACAATTGGGCAAGGGATCGCGCGCTTTCGTTCCTTCCACCCCTTATCTACCCACACATTCACATGAACGACACTACAACTCCTGTCGGGAGACCAGTCGGGTGCTTAGAGCTTGTCCCCTGCGTGGCGGTGACCGGCTGGTAAGGGCTACCTGTTTGGAGAAAAATCCTCGCAACCCGACGTACGTCGGCGTCGGATCTTGCCATCCAGCGATAAAGTAGGGCACTGCACTTACGCGACTAATGGTCTAAATAGTTAACGCACCTGATATCACCAATTACTCAATGTGCCAATGAATATTTATACATCATTTATTTCCAGTGTTCGCACTACTATCAGCGCTCTTTGAGGCAATTTGTACTGACTATGAAAGAAATATTCCCTTATATTAACACTCGACATTGATCGCCTCCACATACTAGGCGTACATGCCATTGCACGAGAAATGATTTACATAATATCCCCTTGCCTGCGCTGGAGTAACTGTAACACATAAATTACAGTTTTATCCATTTGCAAATAAAAATGACCTATTCTTGTTATATTTCGATATCCTTCAGGCGAGAGGAATTGTAGTCGATGAATCGTATCTCAAAATCGTAATTTTACTTTCTTCAAGTTTGTTTGGTTCCAATCAGTTTTATAAATTAATCGTTTCTTTAAATTACTAATGCGTTCTTCTAAAAACCTAACTTTCCAAGATAATTTGTACATTTTAGAATCTAGTAATTGTGTCTTTAATTACTTTCTTGTGAGCAGTGTAAATGGAGAGTTTATTCCGAAATTACTATCTTACCGACACAAAGTATCGTTTTAACAGTCTTTGTAAAATCTTCATTTAATTCATCCTCTTCTCGCTTACACGATGTACTTTTGTACCTCGGTATTCAGAGACAAATCAGAGTGTTATTTCATATCTAACAGTAGATGTCTATTTAAGTGACTATCTTTATTTGAGACGTCCCATTTACTAACCTCAGTGTCACTTTACATGAAGAATCAATTGAACTCAAGGATTGGAAAACAGTGCTGGAATAATAACATACTCATTTACTCCATCTAACAATCTCAATATATTCTTCCGTCTTATTTCGTTTCTCATTTAAGTACGAGTGAAAATATTTATAAAAATGGAACACTTTTTGCATATTTGATACCCTGAATAAATTACAGCAATCTAGCAATTGCTGTTTATTTTATTTTTATTTTTATTATATTAGTAACATGGTATTTAAATTATACCTATATTTCCACAAACATAATGTTGAAAGAGATGTCAAAGAAAAAAGTGAAAACACCAATTCTAAATGAAACAGTTACACGTTCTCTACAAACATTGTACTTTGTGTTTCTGCACGTGCTGAACAAGTTAAATTAAAAAAATTGGAATATTGCAAGGAACATCATGTAATACTTAGTCGTATGAAATTCGTGACTTCCAAAGTATCCATTATAAAGTATGATATTCAGCAGAAATAAAAAGCATCTCGGACAACACGAGGTTGTTGAAACATAGGAATTCTCCCAATAGGTGCACCGAATGCGTGGTACATGGGAAGTTTCTTTTTAGGCGGCTACTATATACTAAAGTACAGACGATGACAATGAACATGACAATATTATGAGTATGCAGAGCTGTTACACCACTTGGAGCGACTGATTGTTATGTCATGAACTGTTACGTTATGTTTATTAATAATAATGTACAAACAGAAGTATTTGTCTCAGAAACTTTACACTAAATTCTGATTATTCTGTACTACATTACGTGAGAGAACAATTTTTGCTTCTCGGTGGAATGTTGACGACGTTCAGTTTATATTTCACTTTAATTTTCACTTGGGAACTTCAGCGGCCCTCTGAAATACATTCTTAGAGAGAGTATCACAATACACCTGGGAGTATCAACTAAACGTACGAGCATTACTCTGATGATTGGAAACAAATTCATAACATTTGATAAACTTGTTAAGTAGTGCTATGTGTAAAAACACGTTATAAAGAAAAACAAAAAGTCTGAATTCCCATGAAACACACGTGTAACAACGTTTTTGAATGCTCTTGCGTCTGTAACATGCACCACCGACAGCCCTGCCCCCACAGGCAGAATAACAATACTATTGCGTCTATCAGATCTTATCTTACATCTTACAGATGGCTAAATATAATAGGGACGTGACACTTGTCGGAAGGTACTTTTACCCGGATGTGACACCTCATTTGAATTCCCCATCACAACACCACTGTTTTTAGCAAATTATTTACTGTCATTGCCGTCCCTGCTTGGTCCCTCCACTGTTACGTATAGATGCACATTTCAAAAGTTTACAAAAGAGGTCATCATGCTGGGAACGTTACTTAACGATCTTTTCACTACTTGGAGGCCTAGGTGGGCGCCAAACGTTTTCGCACCAAAAACTTTCACTTGTTCCAAACTTACCTATCATACAATGCTCTACCCTACTTCTCAGATAAATACGTCATCTTATCTTCTTTCTCCCGCTTCGATCTTTTTCATTTTTTCTTCTCCTCGGATCACTTAAATCTTTGTCCATTATTTTGATTCATTTCCTCTTCCTTTTTTTCAATTTCATTTTCAGTCACTCTTTCCTCTAATTTCAATCAACTGAAATACTATTATTTAACCATATAACTCTTGTAAATAAACATACCTGTTGTACACACAAATTCTTTCATTTTTTACTCTTATTCTTACACCAAATAACTTGTATACTTCATAATCTAGCTATTTGCCATTGTAGTTTACTTGTGTAATCACGCAATCATTCTTAATCACAAATATAGAACTAATATTCAACACCATACATTACTTTTGTACACAAATGTGTGATACCTGTGTATTAGTACATGTTTATGCACAGATATGTATTCATTCAAAATATATAAATTATTGATACGAGCTATTCTTTTTCTGTACCTTTGTAATGCAGTTACAATCTCTCAACAAATTACAACCTCATTGTTTCAGTTGGAAATATTTTCTAATTTTGTCAAGATGAGTTACAGAAATTTGCAACCTGTCTGTTTTAGTTCGTATTCTTCTTCCAACCTTTGCTGTATGATAAGACAGACTATTTAATTGGAATTGTGCCAATTTTTCCTTTGTATCTTATGGACACACTGCAATGGCTTAGACATGTTATATTTTTGGCAGAGTATTTAACCTTGCCTTTAAGCCACCTCTATCCCTTCTGAGATTTACCTGGATTTACTTAATAGTTTAAGGCTTTTACCGGGATGATAACTTTCTTGCAGTCCCGGGAGAAGTACTGGAAGTTGTTGGCTTACTGGTGAGGCACGTTAAATCAAGTTTGAATAACCTCCTATTTATTACGATCAGAGTATTCCTAAGAGCAGGCACAAAGGCCTGCGCCTCGCCACCAATAATGAGATTCATTTATTGCTTTGCTTCGCGCGTGAAGGTTTTCCAAGGACAGTAGGTCTCAAAAGTATGCTCCTGCACTTTGCGCAACTCGAGGGCAAAACTGGCGCGCCACCTGCACAAAATAAACATATCATTAAAAACAAGTATTAATGAAGTTAAATTAGATTATTAAGGACATTATAGATACGTGCGAGGAAGTGAATACAATTCTAAATATTCCACTTTTTTAGGGTTTTAAAATGTTTTAATATTTTCAGAAAAATTTGATGTTTATGTTGTAATATGCGATTTGTAATGAAAAGGGCTGCGCATATATAAATATATTTTGTAATATATGCAATATGAAAATATGCGAAGTATGTGTAATGTGTAAGTGTAAAAATAAATTAAAAGTGTAATGTGAAAAATATGTTTACAGCAAAAAAAGATACAGAAATCATATAATTGTTACAAGCGACAAACATTAAGTCAAGGTAACAAGGGCATACTTTTGAAGAACATACATTTGTTACGAAAATAATGGGGATGCAGTTAATGTACATTTTACAAAATAAAAAATGTAGGTATTGCAGCAAAACTATGACTTCCTCTCAATTCACGGCAAATTCACGACTCTTTACACGACTCCACGCAAAGGCGCTCATTTCGACTGATACGGCCTAAACAGGCCTTAGCGTGCGTCTCGAGCGCCTTCGCACGAGTCAGGCGAGCGGCAACGCTGATCCGTGGCTATGGCAACGTAAACAAATCCTCGTTGCCTTAGAACAGGTCTCATGATGTACCGTAGCAAGAACTGTCAGAGCAGCTTACGCGCTGACGGAACTGCAACGTTTGGGCATCTTTCCGCGGATGAGGGGGGACTACGCAACAGAAATATTGAGGCAAGGCAAAATACCTAAAGGGATTTTTGGCATTTAGAAACAAAACCCTTAATGTCATATAGCACCAAAATATAAGAAATTGCGCAATGAAATATGAGACTTCGAGAACGTAAAGTATCAGAAAATCCAAATATTAATTTAGAACTGTTTCCCGAAAATATAGCAAAAAAACAAACAAACAAACAAACTATACGACATTATTGCTAAGCGACGTATGACGCTTGCAGTATATAGTTGCGGTGCGACAAGAGCGCATCCAGGAAGAAAGATAACAATCAAACAAGTGAACTGTTGAGGCCAGATAGAAAGTGTAAACGAGCAATTTCAGACAGAATGATCTCCGATTTGGTAGTGTGAGGATCGATGGACGACAAGGCATTTTGTAGTAATATTTTTGTGATTAGTGTGAGGAGATAGAAAACGGGCATGTGGTCCACGAATCTGTGAGATGGAAAAGAAAGATTGGGAACATATTTTAGAGCTAAGTCTGGTTTTTGAGGAAGGAAAAATGTGGGCATAGTGGAATTTTCTGAATAAAGTGAGATGATTATTAGAGTGCAAAGGGAAAAGGATCAATGTGTTTGATAAATATAGGAAAACAGGATAGGGCTTAACATATAGCGCATTATTACATTCCTAATATGTATTGTGTATGTATTGTATATTATGCATGTTTAGTATGTATGGTATATTATATATATTATTATTATTATTATTATTATTATTATTATTATTAAACTATTGTATTTTTACAAAGTTGTAAAATAAATTCATTCATTCATGTATTGTACTGATGTTGATTTATTACTGAGCTCTTTTGGAGACTATCATGATTCTAAGAAATGAAGGTTGTTTATAGATTCCTCCAAACTCAATTTTAAACCCGGTCTTATTCAAATCGGAAATGAGAAACACGCTATTCTTTATCTAAGCAGCCCATCTGAAAAAGATGTAAAGTACTATGAAACTTTTGTTATCGAAGATACAATACTAGCAGCATTCATGGAATGGATAGGCGATTTGAAAGTTATCGCCCTTTTCTTAGGTCTCCAACAAGGATATTCAAAATCTTGCTGTTTTTTCTGAGAGTAACATTTTGTGAAGCAGCACAGGCCTCAACGACGTCTAATCCCTGGATGAAAAAACCCTTGTAATGTTGCCTATTCATATCTTCCTCCCTTGGATCCCCTCCTTCCCTCCTTCCTCGGATTGATGAAACATTTATGAAGGTGATGGATAAAAGTGGGTCAGGTTTCCCGTACTTAAAGAACAAATTCCCAAGGATCAGTGAGGTGAAAATAAAGAACGGTATATTTCTAGGATCACAAAGGAAGGAGCTTATGAGGGATCATGACTTTGAGATACGTTTGAATAGTGTTGAAAAGGTTGCATCGATGTTGCTTCAAAAGGTCTTAACGGAATTCCTTAGTACAGAAAAGCTGAAACCTATGAAGAAATAGTGTCAGAACTTCTTCACAATTATAAAGCTCTGTGTTGTAACGTGTTCCGCATTTTACTATTCACGCAACACACATTTTCATATTCACACTCAGATTTCTTTCCTGAAAATCTTGGTTCTGTGAGTGACAAACTTGGTGAGTGATTCTACCAATAAAATGCAACGAAGGAAAAAGTGTTGTATGGGAAAATGGCATCAAAATATGCTTGAAAGCTATTGGTGGGCACTAAAAAAGGATATACTCGAACAAGAATCAATAAAGAATTGTTCAAAATTACATTTTGATTGAGATATAGTAGTACGTAGATGTAGTAGTAGTACGTATAGTCAAGAAAACCAAGAACTTAACGACAGTGTCCTTTTTAATTGTATTTTACAAAAAAACCTTGCCTGCTACAAATAAAGGATTCACAGAACTCAACACACTACAAAACTATAAAAAGATATCTACAAAATCTACAAAAAGATATATATTTGAAAAAAATATCTCATTAAGAACAAAATCTCTCACTTCAATACTGTAGTTGTAGCAAGACGCTCTCCCTATCCCCCGAAAGTTGAAAGTTTGCAACTTTCGAAAATTTAGTCGAGCAAAATCGTGACCAACGCCAATTTATCAAGCGTCCGTTGCTTTATCTCAGGAAACATATTAATTAAGAAATATATAGTCATTACTGGGAAACTTTTGAAAATATTGTTGTAAACTACTGTGACGTAGTGAAATAAGAAATAATTTCAAACAACAAAATAAAAATAATATATTAAATGATTATGTACAAGTTACAATAAATTGCTAATATTAAAACACTCCGGCAACCTTTTCCTTTCAATACCCTGCTTTACCGCAGAAAAATACAAGCCACGCGTGATGCGAGCTGTCGGACCTCCGTCCCGTGACAATTACCGTCACATGGCCTGACGCCAAAATTTAACCCGGTCGTGGCGACCGTGTGCCTACAGCACGCGAGATCGTCTGGCCCTTACTCTCCGGACATCTCGCCCACACTCCTACACCCCTTGTACACACACGTACAAGCTTCCCGATGCAAACTGAATGAGAGCGCAGGCGCCGATGGCGCGGCGTTAAATAGTTGAGGCTGACACCCCCCCCCACCACTGTTCCATAGATAGGCTCGCTGGCTGGAGGCAGCGAGGCTCGCTGGCCAGCAGTTTGGTTTACGCCCACACACAGGATTCTCAGGTTGGCTCGCCTGCTTAACCGTAAGCGAGACTCGCTGGCTAGCATCCTCGGAGTTTACAGCCTACTGTATTTTTGGCTCTGCGGCTCTACCTGAGTCAACCGCCAGAGCGCAAACTCCCGGAAGTTCAGGCTCAACCCCTTCCTCCCCCGCAGCGTACTTTCACCGACCTAACGGTTCTGGCCCTCGTGTTAACGACGCCACACTACCTCCCTCCCCAAATATCAGTTTCTAATTCACAAAGCCTCGAGTTCCTCAAAATCTATTATTGATTATCAGTTTCGGACAGAATGGTTTAGGCGTACGCGTTCACCACAGAAGGACGGACAGAAAGATGGTTTGCTGTACATCACTATTCCAGTACAAAGGATCCACAACGCGTGAATTCCGACTACATATGTTCCAGAAAGTAATTTACTACATAGAAGATTCATTACCTCTTTTGATATCAGGATTCTATAATATTAGTTTTCTGACAAACAATTTTCATTTTCGTCTGCAGCATTACGATAGTTTTCACTTTCTCTCTCTCTCTCGTTTTTGTTAACTTTTATTGCCGGGCCCTAGTAAGGAAAAGTCGATAAATTCAGTCGCTAATTTAGGGAAAAAACCTATTATGTCTGAACAACGCTAGCGGCTAAACCGTTCATCCGATTTTCTCCTAAACTGCTATTCTCCAATCGATCTGGCTGATGACGTGGCCATTTGAATTTGAAACCGATATTTTAATTTGGGTGAAATTTTAAAAAAATGACTCCAATTTTTTTTTATTAAATTTTGTTGTTGGATACTGTGAAGGGCGCTTAAGAAAATGGTGCAGTTTCGTTGAAGATTCTAATTTTTTGAAAATCGTAAAAATTCAATTTTTTTCGGAGTCTTCCTACAACAAAACTCTCGAGATAGTTTCCATGGTAGTAGCAAGTATCTTGTGGTAATCTATAATGTGAGAAACGAAATAATAGTCCACAATCAAAGTTGGTTTCTTGCCATTGTAGCAGGGATAGGGGAAGCCCGAGAAGCTCTCCCAAAAAATTTCAAACTTGTGCTATTATAGCACTGTTCACAGAGGGCGGGCAGACACAAACTTTGATTGTGGATGATTATTTCTTTTCTCACATTATTAAGATAGAGATTTTCCGTTAATGAAATATGCCTTTAAAGGCTTAAAGAGTTGGTTATCTACAATTTTATGAAAAATTGAGTACTTTTTGCACAATTTTGCGTGGAATATAAACATTATTAATTGTGTTTAAACATTTTCTGAAATATTGCAAAAAAACTTTTTGTTAAAATTGTTTCGAAGATAATAAACGACGGTGCAGGTCACATGTTCGTTGCAAATTCTGATTATTTTTGAAAATTGAAAAAATTCAAAATTTTTTCGGCGTCTTCCTACAACTATAAAAATGGCATAACAAATCATATTTGTTCATATCAAATAACATTTCTCCCCCACACTAAATTCTTTCATTTTTTAAAAATTTTAGTAGTTTTCGCGCAATATTGCCTGCAATAAGTGCAATTAAAAAATAAGAAACACAAGACTCTCTCAAAAGCGGCTTCACAGTTTTTC